AATATTTTTTAATAAATAATAAATACAAATCATTCTTTTCCATTGATTCAGGAATAATGTTTTTACATTTTTTTATTTGCATGAAACTTATTTACAATAAATGTATCAAGAAAATATAATTGGTTTTTAACTGACCAATGTCCCGAATATTAAATTAACCAGCATTAAAATTATGGAACATTATCTGATAGTAATAAATCTTGTAACATCTAAATTTAAAATTGCTCTAGAAACATTGATCAATAAATGACACGATATACTTTCAAGTAAAATAATACCGTTTAGATATGTATGTAAATTTAATAATATAACTACCGAGTAATAACTATTAACAAATTAACTATATAAGAATAAGCGTTATAAGATTTTTTTTCTCGAATGACGGAAAGGTTAGTTAGTTAGTCATGGTTATGACCACTTTTCTTCTTAAATTGCCTAGTTCAAACAAATGTTGACAAATTATTTTTATTGAAGCGGATAAGAAAAAAAATTATCCAGAATCCTTTAATAATTATTAGAACACATTTGATGTAATTTTTTTTTATGTATTGTAAAAACAAGCCTGGGTACAGAAAACGTCGTTACAAAAGCTCTTGTAAGAAAACATCCAAATGAGGGTCGGGGGATAATGCCCCTACAAATTGAACCGAGGTGCAAAAAAAAAAGTTTAAAAACGAACCCACAGTCGTAATGATAACAGGAAAAAACATATATCACTACGGGAATAGAGTTGCAGGCAAAAAGAAACCCAGGTACGAAGTAAGTACCATAATTCGGCTAAGAGAGATGGTAAGCCACGTTTATACCGCTTGTGGGTAGAGGTAGCGGGTAGAAAACAAAGTTACCGAAGACGTCACAGAAACGGTGCACCGCTAGTCAAAGGTGGAAAACACTTCAAAAGCAAAATATTCAAAATCCGAAAAATATTGACTGTTAATTGTAGTCAATAATAGAAAAAAAAATACGCCTTGGAGCGAGAGCCCAAAAATTCAAAAAATAGGTCAGTAATTTGAGGACCAAGACGGGAAACATATAGCGAAAAATATGGGGAAAGTTGTCGTTTTTTTAACTTGTGTATTTGGGTTCAAAAATGTAATAACCTACCTTGCTAACGTGACGAACCAAGGGAAAACTTATTACAGCAAAAAAAAAACATGTTTTTTTCCTATCTTTTTTGTTTTTTCACCTATAACTCCTAAATGGTGGACCGAAGAGAAAAATGAACTCTTTAAGAAATTGAATAGCGTTAAATAGGTTAACGAACGTTGATTTTTCCCAAATTTGTAAAAAACTGAGACAAATTACTATAAATTGCCCAGTAACTTGGAAATGAGTAAAGAGAAAATAATCATAAAATCAAAGTTGTAGTACATCAAATTTTGCTACATTGAGTACTAACATTTTTAATGCCGGCCATCTTTCTAATCGGTATTCGTTAATGCTTCATGAAATTCGGCTTCATTCCAGACATCGTTTTCTCAAAAACCTTCGCTGCTAAGAGGTGGAAAGAGGCCTATACTACATGCAGCAGACTCTAAATGAGAATAACTCTGTAGAATAGGCACTAATATTTTTTAAGTATTGGAAATCGCACATACCTTAATTACCGATTTCCAGCAATCAGGAGATTACCGAATTTGTGCGGAGTAAGTGATCTACATTAAAACTGTTGGTACTCGGTGGAAGAAAAATTTGATGCTCTACAATTATGGGTTTTTATTCTTTGGGAACTCAATTCCAAGCTGCTGAGCCATCTATAGTAATTTGGCTCAGTTGTTGAAGAGTTTGGTAAAGATCAGTTTGTTGACCGTGTTTTTCTACTATATCATTATAAAAAAATATCAAGTTTAAAAAAAATCACTCGTTCGTTGTGCTGAGTAACTACCCAATGGTAGTACTCTAATGATATGTCTACATTAGGAGATCGCGGGGCCATCTTGTTTTAAGACGCCTCGGAGGGTTATCAGGAATTGAAGAGGAAGCAAGGTTAGAAACGAGGGTTGGGATGATTCTGAAGTTTCTAATGGAAGGACAGGTATCTGGTTTGGGCCAGATCTGAAACATAAGAAACATTAAGGTCATTATGAATGGTTTTATTTGTAACAAAGTAGGGGAGTATTGAGGATTTTACGAAGGATTTTGGATTGTAAAGATTGGATACGAGAGGAATTCGATGGTTTAGTGGAGCCCCATAGCTCAACTCCGTATGTCCAAATAGGCCTTATTATAGTCATGTATATGAGTGTTTTGTAATTAATTGGAAGTTTAGAGCGTTTGTCTAGCAAGTGCTGAAGTAATCGGAATCGTCGAGCTGTTTCTTGTCGTTTCAGTAAACAGACTAAAGTAAATTTGAAAATATATAATGTAAATAAATACAATAAAATATAATAGTTATAATAAGTAAATGTATGTATCGTAGAAAGTAGTACATAAAATAATTTTTTTTAAACTTAAATCCCATATTTTGACTACATTATATGTCTGATTTGCGTATAGTTGTTCACAGGTACTTTTTTATCATGCTCTCAATGTCCTATAAGGATCCAACTCACCGATATATTTTTTTTTCCCTCAAAAACGCTATTTCGGCCCCATTGTGCGGCGCATCATGTAGCAGATTCGCAGACAACAAACGGATTTTTTTTTTTGTATTATTATTACAATTTTTTTCGTCTAACTCGAAATGGGTTGACCTCCGGTGAATTATTCCAGTCCAAAATAGCGGCTGTTTGTCGCAACCGGATTTCAGGTGGCGTAACTGATCATTGCTATTGTTAAACGATTTTACGGAGTGCCTGCGAAACGTCTTGCCTTTACCCGAGTAGAAAAAAAAAATACAAAAATAAAAAAGAGGGGGATCAAATAGCCAATGTAGGTTATACGCATATACTCGTATATCAGGGCATATATATATATATATATATATATATATATATATCGCATAAATGTCAGGGCTATTAAGTTTGTTACTTATAAATAAGCATCAATTTCTATGACAGAAATCTGGAGGGAAACACAATCTCAAAACCACCTTAAATGAAAAAATTAAAAAATCATTATTTTTAATTTTCACTAATAACGCACAATAATTCACCAACAAGCCTCAACTTAATTAATATGGACTTAAAGCTTATTAAACGAGGAAATTTTTCTATAAGTGGGGTGAATGGAGTACAGTTGAATGGTGATAAATTATGATAAGACGAAGCCATTCGTAAATGTTAATAATTTGATATAAAGAGGTATGTACCTCGGACTCTAACAAACTACATTCAGCTAATCGCAAAGACATAAGTGTGAAAGAATTGATTATTATATGGTGATACAAAGTGAATTTTTGGATTTCATTCATTTCGATATATATTTTATTCAAATATTGACAGTATCAACAGACTATTTACGTGAGATATACTGTTCATTCATTATTTTTCATACTGTTCTCAAGTATTGAAAATAAGGGAAAATAGTCGCTTAAATAAATTATCGTTTTTTAATTTAGGAATTTCTTCAATATGAAGTTTTACTCAACCAATCTCCTTCTTTAGACTTTTGCATCGAATCCTCGTATGACAGACCCCTACCATCCTTACTCCCTACCACTCTATCCTTCCAGCTAACTGGGGTCTTCCTCTCCTTCTTATGCCCTCTGCCTCCCATAATTATCTTTGGTATCCTATCGTTCCCCATTGGTCTGTGCCATACCACCCGAGTCTCCTTTCTTCCATTACCTCTAGCACATTTTGCTTTATTTCCAATCTCTCCCTTACAGTGATGTTTCTTACTCTTTCAATCCTTGATATCCTAGCAGCCCTCTTCCAAAAATCCATTTTAACTGAAAGGAATTGTTTTCCCTGGTTACACTGAGGAGCCATGTCTCCGAACCGTACAGTATTAAGCTTGCTATCAAATAGCCCCGTTAAATTAACACAAATAAAGGAAGTCTACCTGGTAAAAGGTCGGGCGCTTCAAATTTCTTTTTTATATTGTTAGTATATATTATATATATTGTAGTGAATATAAAAAATCCAAGTTTCCACCATTGAAAGCCTTGTGGATCCGCTGCAGTGCTCCAAAAACCAAACAAAGTGCAATTTATTGGGATGTGCAGGGAAGGTGAACAGTAGCGGATCTGGCCCACCGTGTAACATACTATTCAAAACATCTCCCGACTACCGTCTACCGTTCCAGTCAATGGCTCTTCAAGTAAAACCTCCAAATTCTCTGAACTAGGTTCAAAATGGAGTTACATAATTATTCCGTTCAAAACTTGATATTTAGCTTCCTACTGGGTTTAGAAAAAAATGGTAGATAATGATAGGTAAGCTGTTTGAGATTGAATATAACTATTTTTTTATCTATGTTGCACTAAAAAGGAGATGTTTAGCGCAAAACAAAAAAAGTTCGAAATTTCAATGGTTTTTGGAGCACTGCAGCAAAGCCACAAGGCTTTCGAGGGCGGAAACTTATATATTCCCTGCACACCTAACAAAATGAAAATGAAATTTAAATTTACCAACCTTTTGCAAGGTAACATGTCTAAAATGACTGGGGTAGAAGCTTTGTATATTAGTTTGTTTTTTTTTATTAAAACGATAATTAAATATTTATCTGCCGCTGATTTAGCCCGAACCAGATACCTATCCTTTCATGATACACTCCAGTCCCATCCGAATCCACTTGTTTCCAGCCTTGCTTCTTCCTCGATTCCTCATAATCCCCCTAGGCTTTTGAAAAGAAGATGGCCTCGTGATCTTTTCACCTAGAATTAAACAGGGAGTGCTACCACTATGCAGTATCTCTTCAAGTCTGTTAATGTTTCTAATGTGTGAAGTTTTACTAGTTGTATTGTTTATACAGTTGTAAATTTCATTAAATAAATAAGAATATATATTTATCTAATATAACGTATATGTAAATACAAAGACAAATTGTAGTCATTTTTTATCCCGATATAAAGTCAACTTCAATGTTTTTTTATTTTACATGTTCTTCAAGTTGAAATGGAAGCACCTGCCATGGCCGGTAGTCTTCAGCTGGAGGAGCATATGGAGGACAACACCTGCCAAAGGTGGGATCTAGAGCATCTGCTGCCCGCCTGCCCAGTCCTTCCTCCTGTCCATTAATAAGGTACTTATCCAACTCTACACCTTTCCTCCTGCATCGGCAACCTTGTACACATGATTTTTTAACTTGTCATTAAGAGATTAGGAAATGGGCGTTTCTGAAAGCTATAACGGGGGCAAGAGAGCAACAGAATGTCACTAGTAAATTATGGCTTATAGATTTTAAAAAAAAGTGAAGTATGAAATGCTTTAGGAGGAGGAGTCATTTGGAGTGGAATATCCAGTTCTACATCAATAAATTCACGATGTTTTGGATTAAGGATGTCAGGATGCGGACTAAAGGTTTTGAAGAGATGATGAGCAAAAATTTTAGATTTTTCTTCGTCGGATTTCGACCAGGTTTGAGCGTCGGTAAGAAGTGGATGGTTACAGAATTGTTGAATTTTGTATATTCTAATTTCTGATTTTAGTTTCTTAGTCAGTTGGGTGTAATGAGCTTTATCTGTTGGATATCTGGTTCTATGCCACTTCGACCTTGCTCTACGTTTTTCATTTAATAAGATACGAATATGCTGTGGCAAGTTAGTCTGTTGTGAGTTGTTAATCTTACTGGTACAGGTATTTTTATTAATGCTAGCTGTCATTGATACTGTAAGTTTATCTATGGCATTATCAGAAACCCAAACATAAAAATAAAAACACAAAGTTTCCTACGTCAGGTTTTGATGGAGGGAGGAAAAGGACAGAAAAATGTTTTTTTTTTTTAGGTTTGGAGCAAAGATTGTTCAGTACAATATAAATAAATAAATAAGTAAAGCCTTCATTCATAAATAATAAAATAAAATAAAATGATACTTTCCTCGGTTTTAAAATAATCCAAATAGAGCTAAAATATGGTGACAAATAAAAATAAAAATTGCAAATTACAGAAAAAATGTTATGTATTTGAACTTCTGAATTAAACATAATATTGAGCAAAGGCCTCTCCTAATTTTTGCCAATCTTTTCTTGAATTGGCTTTTCTCACCCACTTTATTCCTGCTACTTTTGTTATGTTGTCACTCTACCTCACCGGTTGTCTTCCTCTTCTGCTTTTTGCGTACAGTGCCCACAATTCCGTCCTTCCTTCTTTATTGCGAAGTGTCCAGCCCATTGCCATTTTAGTTTTAAAACTACCGATTTAATGTCTCTAACTTTGATTCTATGCATCATCTTCAGATTTGGTATTATATCACTTAATTTTATATTCAATACGCTCCTTGAGGAACTTGAAGTCTATTTATGTACTTTTCGTTAGAGTTCCGTAGAAGAGACTTGGCATGACATATCGAGAACTTTGCCCTTTAAGTTTACAGGACATACGCTGATGACACATGTATCCTATCAGTTAATAATGATCCATCAATTGCATCCCAAACTCTTAAATCACACATCACAAAACTTGAAGAATGGTGTCAAAAAATAATAATAAATTCCAATAAATCCCATCAAATCACCTTTACCCTTCGTCGTAAACCTATGACTTCCTCTCCTACAGTATCCTTTAATGACACTCCACTTATCCCTGTAGAACAGATCCGATAAATAGGACTCCACCTGGACAAACATCTCACTTGGAATCATCATAACAGACTGAATGAAACGACAAGAAACCGCTCGACGCTTCCGATTACTTCAGCACTTACTAGACAAAACGCTCTAAACTTCCAATTAATTACAAAAGACTCATATACATGAATATAATAAGACCTATTTGGACTTACGTAGTTGAGCTATAGGGTCCCACTAAACCATCGAATTTCTTTCTTATCCAATCCGAAATCCTTCGTAAAATCCTCAATGTTCCTTACTTTGTCACAAATAAAATAATCCATAAAGACCGTAATGTTCCATATGTTTACGATTTGGCCCAATCTAGATATCTATCCTTCCATAATAAACTTTATAACATCCGAATCCTCTTGTTTCTAACCTTGCTTCCTCTTCGATTCCCGATAAACCTCCGAGGCTTCTGAAAAGAAGGTGGCCTCGTACGTATTATTAGAGTACTACCAATGGGTAGTTGTTTCTCAACAAGCGTTTTCATATGATTACATTCCTCTGTACACATTTACTTGATGTATTTGTACTAATACAGTTGTAAATATCATAAATACAAATAAAAAAAAGTGTACAGCGTAAATTTCCTTTCAATATAAATTTTAAGGACCAATATTTTTTTCGAAACGATTGATATCCTCCTATCTATCTCCTTGTTGGTCTAGTACAATACTAAAGTATTTTATAATATCTATAAAAATGATCCTGAACATTTTTTTAATAAAATCATTAGTTAGGGATATATTAAAGAGAATATACGTGTATAATTTCCAATTAAAAAAAAAATGATCCAAACCATGAACTTGCTGTTTTTCTTAGTACATGCTATAACTTTTCGGTTGATTTTGTTTGTTTAACATTTTTGATTGTCCGAGAAGAGAAAAGTACAATAAAACTGTACAGCTTCTCAACTGTAATGCATTGCTACAACACACAGCATACTGATCAGTCCTAATCGACAATGTTTAATGAGAGAGAACAAAAAGGATAGGGTGGGACATATTCAGGACGCAGTCATTCCATTACTTGAATATCTTCAGTGCTCGAACCACGCCCTGATGATGATCCACATGTTTGGGTTGAAACGTCGGCACTAATAATAACCTTATAATGACTACGTCCTGAATATTTATCACCCACGATATGTAGAACAGTCGACTAACTTCCTTAAAAAATGATAGGGTTTTGCGAGACTTTCATTCAAAGTAACGAATGTTATAAGTTATTTTCTTGTTGTTAAAGTTTCTTCGATTATTTTAAAAAGTCATTGGAAACAGAAAGGTATTCAATATCTTATAAATCAGGAATTTCTCTATATTGATATGATGCTTGGATTTTTTTAAACATTTTTTTTATTAAGAAATATCACATTTTGCTACACTTGAGGGCACTGAATATTAGAGCTTAGTGAGAAACATTTATACCATATATGCAATACAATGAAAAAAAAATTGTAACAAAGACAATAACTGTAATAAAAACAAAAGAAATGTAACTTGAAGTGAAATAGAATAATACAGGATTTTTTAGGAAAAATAGATAATAATAAATAAACAGTAATGAATAAATAGATAAAACAAACGAACAATAGCAAAACTAATTGTCATACTTAAGATGCTTAGATAGACATTGATTTCATATAATTGATAAAAAGTAATAACAAATCTTAAAAATTAGACAAAATTATTAGCGTGAAATCAGAACATGGTTTTTCTGATTTCACGCAGAAAATCCGTAAATTTAAGTTTGAATTTTTTTAAGTCAGCCACGTTTTTTGTTTTTATTTAATTTATGTTATTAGCAATCACTTCATAGTAAACTAGCTGAAATTTTCTTCAACTGTATGTAGACTTCGTCTTTTTCAAAACGATTATAGTATAAAACAGTTGAGTTGAACCTAATGATAAAAAAATTCTAGAAAAATTTAAATTTATTTAAAAAAATTATAAACAAAGATTCTTTCATTCATATACTGAAGACGCTAACAGATACAAGCCTTTAGTACCCGTCCTATTTACAGGGTCAATTAGGGAAGATATGTTATAGCCAGCAGTCAGTTGTTTTGTTGCCTCAGTATTATATTAGGCTGTTCGGAAAATAATGTAGGATTTTGAGTTTTCTTTCAATACCCCTCTATATAACAAATTGTTTACGTTCACTGGATTATTAATTCGTATGAATGCACTAGCGGATCCAGAATTTAATTTTTTTTTGGGGGGGAGGGTTCAGCCCAAAAGATTCTTTTTTTCATATATACAATAATAATTAATTTGAAAAAAAAAAAAGAAATTTAACTACATATATGAAATGGTGTTTACGTGATTCTTGAAGTCCTATTAAATGTAATTACACGAACAATAATACTTTAAGAGACAGTTTTTAGTATTTTTTTTCTATAAAACATGGTTATATTTTACCGTTTTTGGGGGGAGGGGCTTCAGCCCCAAGGCCCCTCTCCCCCGTAGATCCGCCTGTGTATGAATGTCAACACTTATTAATCCTCTTCCAAACGATAATGTTTGTTTACCTCTTTTCATTTCTTTGCTTAGAAATAATTCAGTCTTTAGTAAGATGTCAACGCCTGATTTTCGTATAATTTTGTTTTACGAGTTAATTTTGTTTATCAACTTGGCTGGAATGGGGCCCAGACGGCCAGAAACATCAATCAAGTCTGGAGAGAGAACAGCATTAATGAGTGCACTGTTTAACGGTGGTACAAAAAATTTCGGGAGGGGAATTTGAGCCTGGAAGACAAAGAAGGTCGTGGCAGGACTTGATTTCCTGATGACTATGTTCTGCGGGCTTTGGTGGCAGAAAAGCCAGGAACAACTGTTCAAGAACTTGCAGGAAAACTTAAGCTCAGCAAAACGACCGTCGATGGTCACCTCAAGGCGAATGGAAATGTAATAAAATTTGTTATAAAAGTTGGATTCCATACACATTAAACGACCTTCAACAAACAACAGCATTATGACGTTTGTGCTACACTTCTCCTTGAAACAAAAACTGCACTTTTCTGTCCAGAATTGCTAATTGTGATGAAAAGTGGATACTTTAAGATAACAGTAGACGTTCTGGGCAGTGGCTCGACAAAGGAGAAGCAGCAGAACATTTTCCAAAGCCCCCAACTCATCAAAAAAAGAAAATGGTTACTGTTCGGTGGGCTTCATTTGGTTTGATACATTACAGCTTCTTAAATCCTGGAGAAACCATCAATGCCGAATCGTATTGTAACCAAATTAATGCAACGCATCAGAAATTGGCAATAATAAAGCCATCTTTGCCCAATCGGAAGGGGCACATTTTGTTGCATGACAACGCCCGGCCACATGTCTCACGTGTGGCGTCACAAAAACGAACTCTCGTCTACGGATAATTTTTTTAGACACCTGGACACTACTTACGTGACAAAAATTTAATGGACTAAGGGAATTAGGCGATGTGTTTTTGGA